GCGGGGATTCTCAACGGCTGGCAAAAGGCTGCATATAATTTGGCAATGGGGCATGGGATGGTTGCATGGTGGGAACAAGGGAAGACGCACTTATGCAACACCCGGCATCCGCGAGTATGTCGAGGGTGGAGATGGTCGACTCAACGTGAGGGGTGATTGGCAGGATGGTTCGAGATAGCGTAGCAGCCCTTCATGCATCGGCACGCATTGGGCTCCATTTGGGGCGCGGAACGAGGCCAATGTAGGCGGAAAGTAGGTCTGCCAGATGATCAAGCCAACCGCTTCCCGGCCATGGGTCTCGCTATCTCTCGGCTCGAGGGAAGCCCATTCTTGTGACAATGCAGGCTTGTCCTCTCGCTTGGATTGTGTGCCTAGAGGTCTCTGCCACTCGATGCCTGTGCTTGCTATCTGATCGGCTTCCGGCCGTTTACGAAATGCCATCGTAGATAAAGGTGAAGGTTTTTGTCTCGAAATTCCTTCTTCACCAGTGCCATCGTGACCTGTGTCCGTTCCATGCTGTGACCGAGAATGCGGGTATAGTAAGCAAGCATGAAGGAAGGTATGCTCTGTATCATTTGCACTCTCATCAATCTGCCAATCTCCTTCAATTTTGGATCCGTGGCCCAGGAACCGATGGGTATCTAGGGAGAAATCAGCGGCATTCGGCATGTGTATCTTGACGGCCTACCTTGCGAATCGTCTCGGAAACTGCCTCGAACCCAGCATCAATCATCCACTGCCGGTGTAAGTGCGCAATGTTCAGTCGCTTCCCAAACATGACGCTGGCTCTGTCAACCTCGCGGATCCATTCGGAACATCCAGGAGCCCTGTCCATTCCGCCATCGTCGCTATTGATCCAGCATTCGTGATCTTGCATCTCCATCCACCCCCCTGGCTCGAGATTATCGTAAGCCTGCGCGTAGAACTTTGGCCAGTCCGCAATGCCTCCACACAAGGCCCGTCCATGAATGAAATCGAACCTCTCCGACTCTGTGAAAACCCAGTCGCTCTCTGCGTCGTCGATGTAGAATTGAACGTTTGGAGGGACCCAATCTGGTTGAATGGGCGATAAATCCGTGCCAACCACAATCGCCATCGGATATCGATCAGCCATTTCAATAGCCCAGATGCCTGTGCCGGTCCCAACGTCCAGAACACGGTGCGGCTCCCCAGGTAACGGCGCAGTGAACAACTCTCCTCCCAGGACCATTTTAAAGAGATGATGCAAAAGGTCAAGACGGTCTTGTTCCTCGGCGTCATTTGGTATTGGATACTCGCCGTCTCGGAATGCGTGGTATCTGCGGCCATTTTCGTATCGATGGTTGTAGATTGATGATCGGAGTGATTGGCTCAGCACGGTCTGAGAGTCATCGCCGAAGGCCGAGTCAATGTCGTCTGAGGATGCCTAGAGAAAGCTGCGTTAAGAGTTCAATCACCCACTTCTCACGATGGTCAGAGGAAAGTCCCTCTCTTACATTCGAGGCGTCTTCAGCACTAATATGATCATCTTCTTGCGCAACAGTGGACGCGTCTTGATAATCGAGGGCCATGTTATTGTTATAGGACGCCGCCATGCTTCATGGTCCATATCAGGAACCAGCTCCTTGAAAAGCAAAGCAACGCCTGCTTTAAGGCTTCTCCTTGACAGCCACCGGCTGCTGTAAAAGATGCTGGGTGGAATGTGATGAAAAATGACCCCACGCCATTGACGGAGCAGGTGAACAGCAGGGTAGCTAGGACAGACACCAGAACTAGCCGATGCAGTCATGGCGCGGATCAATAGGCTCATAGGCACCTTGTACCTATGCAAAGGAGGGTTTGGGTAGTGACTTAGCGCCCAATACTGTACATTAGGTGGTCTTGGAGCCTTGGTCGGAAAAGGCTGCCGCACGGCATCGCCAGTGGCGTCACAAGCAACTAGATAAAAGGAACGGGCACTGACAGGTGGCTTCTCTTCCGCACCAACCCGTCAACCATGTTCTCCTGCTGGAAGATGGGAAATGCGATGTGCTGGAGTCAGAGGCTAGGTAGGTTCCAAGAAATAGCTGTGCTCTGTCCTTTACCGAGGGAGAGTACGGAGTACCTGGTACATTTGCAAAATCTAAGAAAGTGGTCACTTTGCCGTCATCAGGTCCTCTTAGGTTATATATAGGGTGCAGCGTGTTCTCTGTGTCTGACTGTGCCACTAATTGTCCGTACGGGAATCGGTGCCATGATGAATGAAACAGAGAGAAAAGAATTCTGTGGTCCAAGCCAGGGTGGAATATCAGTACTTGGCCTCGTCAGGAGCAAAACCGTTGTCTGACCTTGGCATCAAATCGGACTAGGGCAGAGTATGGGTGGTGATAATGGGTGCTGATGTTCTGTCAGACCAAATCAATACTTACTTGTTATGCGAATGCTCAAAATGCCTCAGGCTCTCCTCCCCCTTTTTTAATCACTTCAGCCCTGCTCAGCCCTGTCTAACATCCTCGGCGTCTTCGACCTTCACCATTGAACTTGTTGGTGAGTGCATCTTTGTGGTGTCCCACTGCCAAACTCCCAGCCACATGTGAGTTGCCAATGGCCAGTCCTGAACGTGAATGTCAAGCACTGCCGCTCTTGCATCATGTTGGGGCAAATCCGCACACTGCGATGAAGCCTGATTGCAGGAAGCCGCTGGCCAAGGTGTGCAATATGCCTTCCGCGTGCCATCAATTGACTGTAATGCCCTTGTCAGCCGCGGATTATGAGTTTGACTTCTTGGACCTTCATCCTATCATTATCATTGTTTGAACTGGCGCAAACACCTTGCATACCGTGTTGGGCCGTATAATATATGATTTTAAATTGCATCTCATGCTCCGTCCTTGTCTTCGTCCGCTGCATCAAAGACAAACCTTTCACCTCCAGCGGACTCAAAACAGGCCAGACCCACCAGGTGGCAGTGGCCGATCAAAGATGTCGACTCCTCAACCAGGGCGATCAAATTCGACCCAGCTGCCTGACACAAGCCTTCAGTTGACTCGCCCTGTTGGTGCGACAGAGATAACGGGCCTCCACTACGAGTTCTTCGAGACTATACGCAAGATATTGCAACACACGGTATTTGCCCTCCTCCTGGCAATCAGACTGTACATGCTACCTCTTCTTTTCATCTCCTACAAACTCTCGGCACATGACGACCCTTGGTATCCTGCAATCTGGAATCTTGTCCTCCTGCCTGGGCGGGCATTAGCCGATGTCAACCGATGTCGCCAGCGAAATAGCAGCACGAAGATTGGAAAAACATGGACCAGTATCAGAGATGGAATCTTCGCTCCTTACAAGATATTCCGAAGCCTGTATTCGTTGGGTAAAATGATCGGCGAAGATCCAAATAGCCTGCAGCCAAACCTGTTTCCACAGCCGGATCCTACGACGGGCAGCGGTATTGATGACCAAAACAAGGATGAGGATAGTGCGGGAGACCAAAGCGCAGAATCCACGGGCTCTCCACTCAAGGCACCGGCTAGTGCGTCGCAGATATATCATGCGGCACTACTCAGTGGTAGCACCCTCGACGACATGCTCGCAGCTTTTGAAACCGACGGAGACAGCCGAACAGTGGGTTTTAATCGCGTTGTGATTCGCCGCGATCCAAAGGCCTGTCTCTCTGTTGAGCAGCTCGATGCAATGAGTCAATGGAAGCGGCAACGGTACCGCACTTCGAGCGTTCGATCTACCTCCGAGGCAGTGCTTGGTGCTGGAAAGGCGGGCGAATCTTTTCCAAGCCGGGTTATTCACTCAGGTCCACGGGACTGTCAACAGCCTAAGATGCCCGACAGGCAAGCCAGCGTGCGCCGAGTGCAGCTCCAAGGCGAGCCTCAAGCAGACAATCCGTTACCCAAGAACAACCCTGGATCCCCTACATCTACTCGCACATGTCACCCTCCTGAGACGCCGCAACCGGACGGCCATGTGAACTCTAGTGCATTGGATCGCTGTCCTACATTTGTTCGGCGCCATGCTCAAAGCCGTCTCCCGAGACGATCAGTAACCGGGGACAAACGGGCTCTTGCCATGCTGAAAGAAAGAGGCGCAATGTCAACTCCAGTGCTCCCTGTATCTCCGCCGACGCTGCCACCTAAGCGGCTCCGGCTGCAACGAAGGGTTCGACCGAAGACAGGCGTGCTGAAAGTTTCGAACGACTGAGCCACGAAGCGCGAAGCGCGAAATTTGGTCTCACGTGAAGAGCACGGTGTCCAAAACTGAAGACATCCGGTAGAGCCTTGCAGGCAAATAGCAATCTTTTAGCGGGAGGAACAGAATGGCTTATGGTAGGGGCGACGGATTCGTAGCTCGGTGGTTACCAGCTGCATTCATAAGCAAGGGTGTCTGTACGAAAGCATCCTGTGAGCCTTTTTTCGTCTAGTCTCATCAAGACTGGTTCAACGTCCTGTTCGCACTCAATTTGACAGACACGCTGTTCTACAGGAGATCTATTGCGACTGAAAGCAGAGTTTGAGTCCGGTGCCTCGGTGTGTGATTTCCAAAAAGCGTCCACCACTATCAAACAGGTCCACGTGCGAACAAAGTAAACAGATAACAATTTTGGTAATCATCCATTCGTAATGCCATGGCAGTTAAATTCGGCAGACATGATAGGTCTGGATTAGAAGAGGGCAAGATGAGCACTGTGGACTTGCAGAAGTGAGAGCAGGGTGAGTGGCAGCGTTGGTGGGAGATGGAGGTGGTGAACGCCACGTGAGTTCCGCGCCGAAATTCCATTTCTGCTTGTGGTCGCTCTCACGCGTGTGGCGCGCTTTGGTTTCAACCATCTCTCATGCATTAATGTACCTTCAGCGCATAAACCCTTCACGTCGCCTTGAGGTTGCTCGGTAGCCGGCCACACGGGCATCTCATCCAGACTATTTGTTTTCGATAATTCCTTCCTCAACAACCTTCTCCCAGAAGCCTGATCCTCGTCTAGCGAATCTTTCGAACTCCTCCCTGCTGCCGCAGGTGGCGGCGCTCCTAGAATGTTTGTGATATCCTCTCACGGCGCGGGAATTAGTGTAACAGATTTGACAGGGAGAACTTTGAGAACATTTATCTCGACTTGTCGAAACAGTCCGGTCGATGTCGTCTAGCAGAGAGCGGACTCGGCTGGAAGCCTAGCGGAGCCAGTGAACCCTTCACTTTAGACAGCAACCAGATCGGCGCGGCGCAATGGAGTCGAGCAGCAAAAGGCTACGAACTGAAAATCATCACCCGTGATGCCGCCGTTATTCAACTTGACGGATTCGAACAAGACGATTTCGACCGTTTGTCGAAAGCTTTCAAGATCTGGTATGGCATCAACGTGGAGAACAAGGAACATGCGTTGCGAGGGTGGAATTGGGGCAAGGCAGAATTTGGAAGAGCAGAGCTGGCCTTCAACGTCCAAAACAGACCAGCGTTTGAGATACCCTACTCAGAAATATCAAATACGAATTTAGCAGGTAAGAATGAGATTGCTGTCGAGTTCAACCTTGGCCCAGACGGGGCTCAGAATGGCGCAACTGGCCACAAGCCAGGGAGCACGAAGAATCGAGGCCACAAAGCAGCTGCAGGCCGGGACGAACTTGTTGAGATGCGATTCTATATCCCTGGCACAGTGTCTAAGAAAGAAGTGAATGGGCAGGAGGGCAGCGGCGCCGAAGAGGAGGATGAAGAGGAGCAGAATGCCGCCAGCTTGTTTTATGAGACCTTGATGGACAAGGCAGAAATCGGAGACGTCGCGGGAGCCACATTCGCAACCTTTCAGGACATATTGCATCTCACTCCCAGGTACGTCCAAGCCCTGTTTCCGATGTGCCACTCGCAAATGTCGTACTGACCCTGTTTGCCAGAGGACGTTTCGACATCGACATGTACGAGAACTCTTTCCGCTTGCGTGGCAAGACGTACGACTACAAGATCCAATACCAATCCATCAAGAAGTTCTTCATCTTGCCCAAAAACGATGAAATGCACACGCTCATCACTCTTGGTCTCGACCCACCGCTCCGGCAAGGCCAGACGAGATATCCTTTCATCGTGATGCAGCTAAAATTGGATGACGAAGTGAACCTGGATCTGAACATGACGGAAGAGCTACTAGAAACCAAGTACAAGGACAAACTAGACGCACATTATGAGGCCCCCATTCACCATGTCATTGCCAAGGTCTTCAAGGGACTGTCGGGCAAGAAAATCATCATGCCCTCGAAAGACTTTGTCAGCCATCATAATATGAATGGGGTTAAGTGCTCCATCAAAGCCAACGAAGGATTACTTTTTTGCTTGGACAAGAGCTTCATGTTCGTGCCCAAGCCCGCCACTTACGTCCCGATCGACTCGATACAAAGCATTACCATGTCGCGGGTTGGAGGAGCTTTAGCAGCAAGTCGAACGTTTGATATTACCATGACCTTGAAGGGAGGTCAAGGAGAGCACCAGTTCAGTAATATCAACCGTGAGGAGCAACAGCCTCTGGAGGCGTTCTTCCAGGTGGGCAATTCTTGTTTTCTGTTGCCGTTCCTTGAGCTAATTCCAGTTACAGGCAAAGGGCATCCGGTTCAAGAACGAGATGCTGGACGATTCATCGGCATTATTGAAAGCTGCTCTAGAAGATCAGGACCTAGCTTCGTCGGATGAGGACGAGGATGCTGGGGTGAATCGCGGTTCTGCAGACGAGGATGATGAGTCGCCAGATGAGGATTTCCAGGCTGAATCGGAAAGCGACGTTGCTGAAGAGTACGACTCGGCCCACGAGAGTGATGGGAGTGATGCTGGTAGCGATGTGGACATGGCAGAAGCCGAGGGTGCTAGTGAGGACGAAGAGTTAGATGAGCGACCGCCGAAGAAGAAGGCGAAGAAATAGCGGCATGGCTCTAGCATTGACCAGCCCTGGAGAACGAGCTGGAGACCAAGGTGGGATTTGTATCAACGCCGAGCAAAAGCGGAACCTGTAGTCATATTACCTTGAAATGACGATGCGCGAGTCCCGCATTTTCCCGAGACACTTCCTACCTAGTACCAGATTCCTCGTGAACGACAATCTTAATGGCCATATGTGATTTGATCACAAGGTGAGCAAGCCAGTCTCTGGCTGAAGCAGGTTGTGGCGACAATGCCAATCCCTTATGCACGTCAAGATCATCAGGGAGGAGCAGCAAATAGATCAAATGTCGCAATAAAGTCAAATAGAAATACTGGACAGAACATTCTGCCGTATCTATCTATTTCACTGAGGCGTTGAGACAGGCTACCATCTGCCCTCAACATTCCGCGTCATCTTGGCAACACATAGCATCACCACTAACACCTACGTGGCTTTCTCGGAGCGAAGTTCTGCGCAACGGCCACCAGCCGATGGCCAACCAAACTAGTGGAGGCGTTTCCTCCGGGAGCGCAGGTTCAGTGAGTAGACGTTGATTCAGACCCTCTTAACTTGGGCTGGCCAGCTTCGAGAATCCTGCAGCTGTCGATTTGAGAGCTTGCTTTTTTCGGAGTTTATTTTGTATTATTTTCTATTTTCGTAATATAGACTCCTTGTGGGAAGTGATTCTTGGCGTTATCGAGGTTTCCGAATTAACACAATTTGCGGGTGGATTAGCCATATGAAACATCAGCAGTTTTGTTTACTCGACTACACTTAAGACACCAATGTATTTTCTGCAGACTTCTCAGGCGTATAGTGCATGCCCTTTAGTGATAGATTCCTAGTGATATAGGATCGTCATGAGAGCCGCATGAGGGACATCTGTGAATCAATGGTGGCAAAGGTCGAGTTTGCTGTACGGCCCGGGTCAACCAACGAAATACGTGAGTATTAGCAAGTGGAAAAGAACTGGTGAAGTGAGTATCGCTCGCGTAGATAGCGGGTTTGAGAATTGTCGAGGAAATGTAAGGAGGATTGATGCTCGAGGGTTTCTGTGGCCTGATCGAGACCACCGGGCTATTGACTTAGCCGTGGCCTTGTTATTGAAACTCTTGCCAGAGAAAAGCGCTCTGGGAGTCCAAGGTCACACCCAAGGAGGTAACTTGTTAGATGAGCCGACTGAGTAATCAGAGGCGCCAAGGCGTGAGCAATCTGTGAATTTCATACCTCTCCGTCTTCTTGGCGCAGCGACATCACACGACTCCCGGGAATTTAAGTCGTCTTTGGTGCATCTGCACGTGATTTTTCCCATCTCGCCACGTGATAGAGCCAACTCACATCTGCCCAGTACTCGCTCGCTCGGTCCTGTACAACTGCAAGTACAAGAACATGCGACAACGTGCCAAGACATTGCCGGATCGGCCTTACAATGGTCCGAGTTGGTCCCATAAAGCAGCGGGATTTACAGGATTTAAGAAGTCGAGGGTGTCTGTCGGTAAACCTGCCGGTGCGTTGCAGACAACAACGCAAACCAAGCGACCATGGCGTCGCAAAAAACCGCCAAATCAAAGTCCTCTGGGACTCTGAGGAGTCGCACAGGGTGCCAGACTTGCCGCGCACGCAAGCTGAAATGCGACGAGGTAAATGCGCGCAGCCCTCTTTGTTGTTGGCGATGACTGACTGATCGCGAAATTTAAGGCGAAGCCAATCTGCGGACAATGTCTGAAGTCGCACCGCGACTGTGTGCGCTCCGAACGTGAGTCGCTGCTACCGTGATGATGAAATGATTTCAAATTATCTGACATGCTTGAGATAGCGATCACCTTCAGACACCATCAGAACTCGAGTTTTGGCAAGGACGGCCAGGAACATTCACTAGACAGTTTCTTCAAGTACAGCCAGACATACAGTGAGGAAGATCTGAAGTCGTTTCTGCCAGTGCCACAACAATGTTTGTATCTTCCCCCTAATATCTTCGACAACGAGACTGACTGCTTTTTTAGTAACCTGGATCCATGTCTCTGACCCGACCGCAGACGACGCAAGTGTCGTCACGCCACCTCCTCCTTCTCACACTCCTACTACGTCTGATACGGTTCAGCAAGTCGCAGCACATACTCTAGAAGCCCTGTCAACCGCAGCAGCTGATCAGACCACACATCCGCCTCAGGGCACGGCGTACTACACGACGGCAAATCCTGCAACAGAATACCATCCAGAGTATGGATTCGTGCAAACTGAACCTGGTGGCCCTACAAGTGGTGGTCTCTCCAGAAACATTCACTATTATCTCAGCAGCTCGTCTCCTCAGAACCAGACCGACACATCCTTGATCGACCCAAATCTCGAGTCCAACGTGACCACTACCGCTCCAGAAGGCGAGCAATCGGACATGGCGCGTGATGAAAAAGCGCCGGGCGCGGATAAAGATCAGAAAGAACAAGAGGACAGCTTGACTGACTCGGACACAAGAGTTGCTATGGCGCTCAGAACTTTTAATGAACTCCAAGCTTAGGTTTCAAGGGAGATGCTAGTGACGACACGAGGCCGTGACGAACATGTCATGAGAGAGCCATGGTCAAGTTAGCATGAAGATATTGAGTGACGAATTTCATTATGGGAGCGACGGGATAGCAGGCGTTGGAGAGCATTATGGAGCTTGGACGAAACGGAAGAACCGTCAATCGATCCAGGCAGAGAACACTCCGCTGAGTTGGAGTTTGTCCTAGAAGGGATGTGTCAACCCATTCGGAGGCGGCAAAGGATTGTACTACTAGCTTTCGAACAAATGGAATAGTCAACTTCAGGCCCAGCCAAGGCAGGGTGAATTTCAATGTTCCTCCTTGCCCTCCGTGCTTTCAAATAATATTTGTTCCGCCCCTTTCATGCGAGGGCGAAGGAGGACTCAATCCGCAAACCAGACAAGCTCCACTCCGAAGGGAGGCCATGGACGCGGAGTCTAGCTCGCTCCTATGCAGGAGACACAAGAAGGTCATGCATGTCTCGCCGATGAGTGCCGAGACACGTATACTTCGCCCTGACGAGTTCTTGGGTGCACCCAGTCAAAACCCAACAGCAAAGGAGTCGACTGCAACGGCTGGTTGATGGCTCCTGAGCCAGCGTTTCCCGTCAAGGGAGGTGTCAACGAAGGCACGCAAAAGGCAGGACTAGGATCGAACGAAGCACTTTTCATGTACTCCGTATCTGCCGAACCGTGTACGTCTAACACCGTCAATCGTCCAAGGGCTGAGCAGATTCCGGGGTGGTCGGCCCCCGAAGGCCACGCAAGCCACTCTGACAGCACGTTTCTGATGGTTCGTACGACAAAAGCGAGGAGGAAACTCGGCAGGATCCAGTAGCTAAGAACTCGGCTCAATCTCCTTGGGTGGATGATTTCATGATGTAGCTTGAGCTCGGGCGATGAGTGGATGAGAGGCGCCGGATCTCCAAATTCGCCTGGGTAGCCTTGGGTAGCTCAACTTATTGAGACGTTTAGTTAATTGGAGACGTCATCAGCGGCAGACAGGCCTCGCCCAAGCCCAGGCGAAACTTGGAACTCTGGGAGCAGAGTGACGCTTTCTAGCTGATCTGGACTGCTTGGTTTTGCCTGATTGTGCTCTAGGTTGAGCAAAGAAGCCGGCGCATCGTGGTGAGAAGCGTTTGATGAAGGCGCTGGAGGCTGGAGGGGCCTCCTGGGTGCCCACTTAACTGTGTGTTTAGTTAAACAGCGCCCAAAAACGAAGCAAAAGAGTTGAACCACTGCGACGCGGATACCACCCACACCATCTGGGCACACACCACACACCACCTGCGCCCCCCAGATCACCAAACCCACACCAGCAGTACATCTCGTCGTTGTTTCCACTTCCTTTTTTTAACTCCTTCATTTTGTCCATTGACCGCTTGCTCAAGGCAGTTATCCTTCCGTTCTCTCACGTTCTGTATATCCACTGCCATCCGCACTGCCACGGAACCGGCCGTTTACCAACCGCTGACCACGTTTCTCTTGGGTGCCCCCTCCACCATGGCAAGCTGAAAGATACTTTTGTTTTTCCCCGAGGAGGCAAACGCAGGCAGGAGTGTGCTGGTGAGGACGACAGACAGCTGCTTGTCACAAATTGCAAGCTGCACGGTCCCTCTTTGCTCCTTCCTTGCTGGCTGCGATTGTCTGCGCGGGCAAGTGAAGTCTAGGCCCCAGCGGCTGGTGCAAGTCCCATTTGGCCCAATACCGACAACATTGTCAACATGGGCCGCTTTCGCAACCTCTCCGAGAGCTTCAAGGCTGCGGCGTTTAGCAATTCGACCATCTCGATTCCTTCGCTCTCCAAGACCTCTTCCACCGGCCAGACCCAAATCATCGATAAGGACTTACCGTCACCTGCACAGCACCAGGAGTCACCAACGCCCACTGAAACCCCTCGAACCACCCCTCGGACAGACCGGGTTGCATCCCGCCCGGCTTCCATGATTTATACGCCTCCGTCAATGGAGTTGGAAAGAGAAAATCACATCGAGGAGTTGAAACCAGTATTCAGGTGTGCAAGCTGGGGCCCTGTTATATGAGGCCCTAGTGCTGACGTTCCCACTAGCTTTCTCTCGAGTCATAGCAATAAGCTCTATCAAGAAGGTACTTTTTGATTACTTGTAGGATCAGCCGCCCTGATGCTGATCATGTCATGCAGGGTACTTTCTCAAATTGAACGATCTTGACACTCGTGAGTGCCTCCAAACTCTCCCAATCCATACGCATTGATTAACTGGTCACAAGACGGGAGACCCAATGCGGATCGTAACTGGACTGAGTGTTTCGCTCAGTTGGTGGGCACCGTGCTTTCGCTGTGGGATGCAGCTGCTTTGGACGCGGCCGGTCAAGATGGAGAAGTCGCTCCCACCTTTATCAACTTGGCGGATGCTTCCATTAAAATGGTACGAAATACAGACTTGCGTGGCCGGCCTGATTCTGAGTGATTGGCAGATTGAGACTCTCCCTACACGGAACC